TACTATTCGCAATAACGTGTATATAACTTTAAGATGTTGTTTACGCGTCTATTTCGACTTTTCAGAAACTGTTCGTCGATACGGATTGTCGACCGCACAATAACCTGTCGATACGCGATTTTTTTTTTAATTTCCCTTTCCGCGTATCGACAGGTTATTGTGCGGTCGACAATCCGTATCGACGCACAGTTTCTGAAAAGTCGAAATAGACGCGTAAACAACATCTTAAAGGTATATACACGTTATTGCGAATAGTATTATCACAGCCCCAGTGGTCGAGCTGGCTAAGACGCCCGTCACGGATTGTAGGGAGGTCCCAGGTTCGAATCCTGGCTGGGGTAATATTTTTCGCAATAAGAATTTTAATTGCCAGACACGGTCGACAAAAATCACCGACGTTATTAATTTATTAATTACTGCTGGCGACTTTAAGAATATTCTTACTTAATTCTTATGTTTAAGAAATAAATAATACCCCTTGAAAATGATTCACCAGTCAAAGAATGTCTTTTAATACATGAAGATTGGGCAGCAGCTTCCATTACATTCTTCCTTGCATTCACTAATTTATTTTCTCGACTAATCAGAAATGATCTTGCTTGTTCAACCAATAAATCCACGTTATTTTGTTTCGAGAGAGATTGATCTATTTTGTGTTTTAATGATGCAAGCACCTGTAAAATAAATTATTAAAATACAATTTCTCTTGTTTTCTAATACAGTTGACAATATTCATTGAAATTATAAAAATAATGTCTTTTAAAGAAGAGTACAACTCAAACAAATTAGAATATACATGATTAAGCATAGCGGTTAATCGACCATGACTGGCTATGTGTTTTCTAACACAGAAAATTTATTGTGACAAATATTACCTCAGCCAGGGTTTGAACTTGGACCTTCCTCCTTCCGAGGTCCGAGGCCATGGCGACCGAATTGGTTGAGACGCCCGCCTAGAGTGAAGGGAGGTCCAGGTTCAAACCCAGGCTGAGATATTTTTCGCAATAAATTTTCTGTATTAAAACACACAGCCAGTCATGGTCGATTAACTGCTTTGCTTAATCGTGTTGATTCATCTGCTGGCGTCAAATGATTCTTAAAATTAGAATAAAGCCAATATAAACCAATCACGGACAATCATGCAATATTCATTTATAATTCGGATATTTATGATACATATTCATACCTTCTATTGGCTTGATTTACCATAAAATTAGTTTCAATTCAGATTTCTCTTTAGTCAATTATAAAATAAAATGGCTAAAATTCCAAGATTTTTCTTTTTATAGTAACTATTAAAGACCACTTCTTCGACCATTATAAATATATTAACATTTTCAATTTTGTATTATGATTAGATTCACTTCTTTTTTTGTCTATGAAGCATGGAGTTGTGCTTAAAACCAAATACCTAATATACTCATACATATAAGATTCCGAACAAACGCAGAGTGTTTAAACATACAACTCCAATAATGAAATATTTTAATTAATTGAATATCCATTAAAATGTACTAAGCTTTAATGTACTATAAATCTCAAAATCATGCAGTGTATACATATAATAAAATATAAAGATGTGTCACTTAAGTCAAACACAGCAAATCAATTAATTACAACAGAGTAAATTGAATATAAAAACCTATTTTTCAAAAAATATTTTCTATAATGCATCTCAATATTCATAAAAATATATCAAAGATTTTGCAAAAATTTTGTAATTTTAATTAGGAAACCATGAAAATCTTGGATCAAAAACCATCAAAGTATAAGCATCTAATTTTAGAAATACTACGTACAAAATTGTAAAAGAAGGGACTGAATATAAGACACAAAATTATTTAATCAAACGTATTTTGTCAGTATAAGAAAATTTGATAGATTTTAATTCTTGAAAAAAAATCAATTTTATTTTTATAACAACAAATCTCAAAAATATAAATATTATAGAGTTTACATTATTTATAATGATAATAGGAAGTTTTTAACGAACATTATAAAAACAGGTGTTCTGATCTCATTATGAAATTCATATTTTGGTTGAAGACTTGAACAGAGATCATAATTTGTTCCAGCCTAATTCAAGCATTGAAAATATTACAAATGAAAGAAAATATAATTACAATATTGCACAAATATTCGCGTTTGCAGGTTTATATTAGGCTTTAATTTAATATTTTTGATAAATAAACCGATTATTCTATTTGTTTGTTTTATTCCAAAAAAGACAAAAGTTATTATTTTAATATTTTGGAATATATTATTCAAAATTTCAATCATAAATACAACCATAACTTGATAAATATATACCTGAAATAAAGATCTGATGCTGGGTTGAAATACAAGAGAATGATTCAGCAAAAACGATTGCAATAAAGGTTGCGGGTATATCGCCAATCTGCTAATAAGGCCTGTGAGGTGTAAATTGACATACACATTATTGCTTGTCATACATTCAAGTTTCCGTAAAACCACGTCTAAAAATATGCCAACATTTGGTTGCCCGTTAAACACATCTTGTCGATATAAAAGGTCCTTATTTGATTTACTAGATAATGCTTCTGCCGTTGTCTGGGGATTTGATTCCCCGACATTACGCATAGCAACATCGGCAATCTCATTCTTAATTACAACATGCATTTCGTCATGTTCACTCATACGATCCTCGCTGGTTTCGTTATCTGGCGTTGATTCTGGCGATCCTTTAAACGCAAAGCTTTCATAACCGCTACTCTCACCCAATGACATAAGCGAATTCAGAGCCGTAGTCGAATTATCTATGCAGCTATCCGATTCCTTCTTCTCTAGGCAGGTTTCTTCTGTACATTCTGTCATTCCGATATTTTCGCTCAACAATTCTGCAATATCAGCATCTAATTGTGTCTGTTCATCAAGAGATAGCGCAATATCCAAATTCAATTCACTTTTAACATTATGTTCATTGCTATTTAAATCTTTACCCTCCAACAAGGATTGAATATTAAGTAATACATTGTCCAGTGATGGGCTATCATTACTTTCACACAATTTCATGGTATTCTTAATCATTTCTAAGGCTCTAGATTCTTCTATCTTTTTCTGTACTTGACTAGATATTATATTTTCATCTGTCAACGTAGTTATGCTACTTGTATTGCTATTTCGAAGTAAATTACCATCATATTGGCAAGACCAATTGGAACACGCAATACGGCAAGCTTTGATCTTTTGTCTGGCATCACAGAGATATGCATGATAATTTCCATACAAGCTGTCTGATAATCTGGTACCGTAATTTATCGATGCCGGTAGCGATTTCATGGAATCAGATGTGGTATATCCATGTCTGTCGTGTGTAGATGGTACGGTATTAGGTAAAGAATTTGCTTGTGAATCAGATGACATAAATACAGAGCAGCAACTTGGTGTTAGGGATAAAAATTTTTCTGCTGCACGTCCAAAAGGATCTATATCTCTCAGTCGGCTACGCTGAGAAAGCATTACATGTGAGCATGGATTTAATGCGCCCAGACACAATTCCAACATAACATCTTCGCAATTCAAATTAACTAGCGTTTCAAACAATGCCAGAGTAACTATGCACAACTAAATTAAAAAGTAAAATGTTAGAAACAAGTTTATATTAAAGAAATGTATACTGTGAAATGGATTGTAAGAAGAGTTTCTAATTTACCCTTGATCGAGAAGAAATCCTCTGTATTAAGCTATCCAATATTCTACAGTCATCAAAATTGTCTTCTAATAGAAATCTAACAAGCGATCGTAACAAGCCAGGATCGGTCACAGATCGAAGAAACAAATCAAAATAAGCTGTGGCTGTAACCAATTCGTCCACGGTTGTCTGTAATTTATTTTTAAGAATTAAAATAAAAGTACACATACTCACGTTATTACACACACATACACATACACACACACATACATATGAATAAAACAATATACAGTATATAATTTAAAAAAACAATTACTAATTTATAAACAAAATGTTAGTAATTAATTAGTAACAAAAAAGTTCTACAATTATGTTATTAATTTATCCTTTTTGTTACCTTATATCTATGACGTTTATGGACTTTATTAAAAAATTATTACAATTATGCAAGTTTTGATTTAAATAAAAGATATAAATAATTATCAAAATTTTTCTACTTATTTTTACTCTCAAAAATTATTTTTGTCAAATAATAACAATTAATAAAACAAATTATCATTTATTTGTTTACATAAAAATGTTTCAATAATACTAATAACCTTCAGAGAATAAAAAATTACAATTCCTACACTTTTCTTACGTGAAAGACAATATATGTATATGTATACACATCTAAGATAAAACACAGGACTTAGAAGAGTGTTTTAAAACATCTCAATGTCATCTACAAAATTAAGCAATAAAAATTAAAAAATTTCATTTAAAAAATCAAGTTAATTATGACCTTGACAATGTTATCTAAGGTCAAATTATAGCAATATTCCCCTCTAAAAATTGTACAACTTTGTTAGAAAATTTTCCAAGATATAAATTATTTCTCTAAAAAATCTAATTAAATCAAAATAAATCAGCTTATATGTGTGTCTGATAATTGCATGCTATCATGGGTGGATAGAATGAGTTAAACTAAATCAAAAGTTTTTATTGTTTGCGAGTTTTTCATTAATTAATGAAAAATTAATTAGTGAAGATCTACGAATCAACATATGTTTACAGCGATTGAAAGCACACAGTGAAATATTGGGGAGAGCACTCTTCTAAGTAGTCACTAATGATGAATAATGCTGGATTATCTTTGTTACATGTTGCACGGATACATGCTCATTTGCAGGATCTGTATTAATTAATTTTTTATTGATTTTTACAAAAATCGCAAAATAACAGAAGATTTTTGTATTTAGTGTAACCCACTCAATCTATCAGAATTACATCTATTATTAGACATCCTGTTGTCTTCAATCGAGACATTAAAGTTAAATTTTGGCACTAATGGTATACAAGAGACTCCAAGAGTTCAACTTTTTATTTTTTTTTTGCATGTTGTTATAAATCTCAAACAAGGATCACTGAGTATATTCCAATGTCATCCAGAATTGGTCAGCTGAATGAGGACCGATTTTTTAGTAATGAATTCTAAATAATCAGATTGTTGTGAAACCACGAGGAGCGAACAAACTTCTAACACATAGGCGACAAACAGTCTACGTATTAGGACTGTGTACTAACAATAAGTCTATGTCTAATAGGACTGAGAACCACAAGACCTTCATATCTAGCTTAAATAAAGTAATTAATAGGAATTCGATTTTTTTACCAATTACGTCAAAAAGGAATTTAGCTCCTCACAAACTCTAGTTTCTAAAATTTTGTTCATTCTCTAATACGTGTATATTTCAATGTATTAAAACACCATATTAGATTTGGCATTATAATTTTTGAAATTAGAATATTATTTTCAAAATTAGCAACCTTTTGGATTTTATTAAAAATTTTAATTTTATGACTACAATATTGAATCCATTATTTCAATTTTAAATGTCTAAAATGTTATATTCAAAATTGGCGATCTCAAAAATCCTTTAATAGATATCAGTTTTATTTGTATATGTATAGTATATGGCTGGCTTATATGAGCTACTAAAAGAATTTTTAGAAATTATTTTGATAATCATCTTTCTTTACTGTCACTGCCTGTGCTTTACTTTAACACAATCAAATTTCTTGTATGAGATGCACATCATCTGTAATCTTAAAACAAGTCATTCTTTAAATGCACATTATTATAATATTTTGCATAACACCTGAAGAAACATTATGTTTATATGATAATAACAAAAGTACTAAATGCGATATTAAAACTATTATATTATAATGAAAATGGTACATAAGATTTCCAAAAAGATTTTAGTGTAACTTCCACATACTTTTTGTATTTTGTTTACATTTTTGAAAATCTCTAGTTAGTGAAATGAGTTTTCAAAAACAAAACAATTTGTTTCTTCTCAGATCACAACTTATTCTAAAATGAAACGTATATTATCTCCACATTTCTATTCAGCAAAAAAATATTAACAGTATACTAGTAGTTTTTGCCAGCAAATTCAAGCAGAATATTATGGTAAATTGATATCACAACTGCATTCATTAAGTTTTTATTTTACAGGGTTTTTCAAAATAATTCATTCGATTTCAAATGACTGTATTTTTTACAAATACAGAGTGATTAGTGATACATCAACCAGAAGATAAACTGTTAAAGTTTTGATCCTAATTATTGAATTAAACCTCACCCAACTCGATCTTTCATGTTATAAATGTTCTATGTAACTTCCATGATGATAAGTAACGTCAAGAAGATTTAAATTTCACATTTGCACCAGCATTTCCGTCGTCATTGCTACGCCATAGGAGTAACAATTTGATTTTTGAGTTCATTCAAGATTGTGAGTAATTGTTGCATGTACATACACAACAAACTTAATGTACAAAAAGAGAAATTACACGGCAAAAGATCCAGTGACCTAAAGAGCCAGTACAGAGTACCAAGTCAACAAGATAAAATGTGGACAGTATATTTTTTGGTTGATGTATCACTAATCACTCTGTGTTTGTTAAATTCAGAAGTATAATTATTCAAAAGTGGATTATTTATTTTGAGTACTAGCAGAGTCTGCTGATTATCGACAAAAAGCAAGCAAGATCTGCCATTTAGTAATCATTTAAATAATTAGAAAATGACAGATTCTCTGCTTAATTTCTATAGTCAACTTGTTATATTGTGTTAGTAATTTCCATTATATTTTTTATGATATGAGATTTATAACACATTTTACAAAATCGGTTTTTGTTAGATGTATCTAGATAACAAAAATAAATTTTTTCATTACATGACATAATTTACAAGAATGTAAAATAAAAAATTTTATTCTGTTAATTTTGTAATCAACTAATTTGCACAAAAAATGTCGAAACAACTTGAGTATGCTTTGAGGGATGCAAAATAATAGTATTAGTTTAATCTGAACTGCCATATCAAGATCATGTTTATTCTTAAATAGAACTGTATAATTTTTTCTTCCATAATTTCATTCCCGTCAATATATGTATATAAAATAGAACAGTATCTAAAAATTAATAATTTATGAGATATTTTGTTTTATTTTTGTTATACCTTAATAAAAAATATAAAAAATAAAAATAAAAATCTTATGTATATATATTTACATATATTCATTTTTAAATAACATCTTAATAATTTAAAGTATTAAGATAATATAAAAGATACACATAAGATTTTTGTTTTAATATGCACACGTTTATGCATAAAATTGCAATAAAAGAAGTTGATTGATGTAAAAAAGCATATAATTACAATTGTAAGATAAAAAATTTTATAACTTGCAATGTGCAATTGCATATTTTTTAAAAATAACTATACAACTTCTTTGTATCAATTACTTTATTCAATTGTTTTCTTCATAAAAATTTTGAAATACGATTATTGAAAAGTGAATGTTTTATGAGATATATAGAATATTAAGGAAATCAATTTATTAGAAAATTTACAATTAATTTTATTTAAAAAATGAATGTGTAACTTTGATAATCTTGAAAGTTCCAAGTAAGATTTTAAACTCTATTCAAAATTTACTTGTTTTAGTATTTTTCATGTAGGTCAGTCAACTTTTAAGAAAAACGAAAAAGAAAATAATCAAGGTGAAAAGTTTTTCAAATATTATATAAACAAGTATTTTCCATACATTACAAAGATATAAGGAGTTAAAACGCGATAAATAAAATTCTAATTTCTTTAAATATTAATAATGTGAAAAAATATGACGTCATCACGATTCTCTATAAATTAGGAATACATTTCTGGTGCGCTAGACAACTAATGAAGAAACGAAACAAAACAAATAATTAAGACTAATATTAATTCTTATACAGCTCCATTTTCTGTTAGTATTTTTATTTTTTACTTTTAAATACCATGATTACAGTTTTTTATGTGGTAAAAGAAGGATACATATTTTTATATACTATAAGTCATAAAGTAATATGAAGGTAATATATTAATTGATTAATATGTGAAAATATGTGAAAGAAAGCACATAAAGTGTGTATAAGCATACATACAGATTAATATAGTATTTATTATTAGCGTATACAGATTGTCACAAAAGCTCAATAGTCTATATTTCTATATTTACTAGAATTATAGAAATGTTTATTTCTACTTATCTAATAACGTAAAAAATAAAATTTGGAAACAAATGATTAATATGTATATGTATATTTATTGTTAAATAATGATACTAGATGAATATAAAATGATAAAAGCACAAAAGAAACGGGTGGATGAAAAGTACTCCTTAAGTATATGAGTAGAGTATTATTACATAAATTAGATTATTACATAAATAATGTAAAACAATAAAGAAAGCAAAATATTATATGTATATTTATTGTCAAATAATGATACTAGATAAATATAAAATAATAAAAGCACAAAAGAAACGGGTGGATCAAAAGTACTCATTAAGTATATGAGTGGAGATTATTACGTAAATAATGTAAAACAATAAAGAAAGCAAAAACAATTATTAAGCAAGACAATAACAGCAATATGTGTATTTGAGTGTGCGCTATAAATTATAAACCACGTAGTCTTTTTATTATCTGCACTTATCAGTGTTTTGTCATATTAGATAGCAGATAACAGTATAACACTGACTTGATAAGATTAATAAGCGTATGTGTGGCTTATAATTCATAATAAGTTATGCTACTAAATTAGAGTTAGTAATTTATAATTTAAGTGATACTATAATTTATAAAATAGCAATAACTATTAATATTTCAGCAGATACTTTTAATCTAAAAATAATTTTTAAATACTATAATTTATAATGCTCAAAAAACAGAACACTTTTAAAAAAGGACTTAATTTAATACTATTTTTTTAATTAATTTAATACTAAAGATAATATAATGCAACAATATATCTATCAAAATAAATGAGAAACTATAAATATGGGATATTCAAATATCTCGCATTCAGTATGAAAAATTATACTTTATAGAATATTTTAATATGGCTTATAAAAAATTTTACTATATGTATAAAGTGTATAAACTGTATCAACTGAATTGCCATATTATGAAAGTGATATTGTTGTACTAACCCAATATTGTTGTGCATCTAGCTGTTCTATAGTCAAGCCAAGAGAATCCTATGAGTGTCATAAAAATATTACCAAAGAGAGGAAGGTACCAACAACCACAAATTATAACATCAGTGATTTATGTCATTAGCTTTCACAGTGCACCTTATTCCATTATGCTACATTGAGAAATTCACATACATTTTGATAGCATGTAAAATGTATTATGCGTATGAAGTCAATAAAGTCGCCAAATTAAAATATTTTGTATAAAAATTTACTGATTCTAACTTATGCAAATATTTAAAAAATATGCTAAACATAAAAAATTAATTTGAAAAATTCTAATAATGCTTGGAGCAAAACTTAATATTATAAATTTTCAATAGAATGGTAAAAATATATACATATATTTATTGAGATAAAATATCTTATATTTTTAATTATTTATGTTTACTACTTAATCATTCATAATTGATAAGTTATAATTTATATGTTAAAGGTGATTGTTCATTAAATTTTAATTAAATCCTATTTAATTCAATTTGCAGATATTTTTACTACATAAAGTAATGTTGAAATGCATTTGTGCGTCTAATTAATAATATATTTATATGTGCAATTAAAAAACACCTTCTTTCACCACACTTAATATAAAATATAACTGAAATAACATACAATCTATCACATAAAAGCATAGCGATTACTTACTTATTGTCTTAAAATAAAACATTTTCACATGATTTGATAGATTATGAGGTACATTTTATGATATATTACTTAACATAAAATCAAGTTTCTACTGTTATCAATTACTGATAGTGGGCCTGGATAGCTCAGATGGAGGAGCATTCGTCCCGCAAGCGGAAGGTCCCAGGTTGGAATCCTGGTCTAATTCTAACGCGTTATTTTTCTTGCCAAAAACTAAATAAGTGACGCGTCTTAGTGCCTACCTCCCCGAAGATACACCCATATTTATTACTATTTCTATATATTTTCCATCAGTTTTTAGTTTATATAATATGAATGACTATTTTCATGATTGTTGATTGGTTTTATCTGGAAACAGCTAATTCTAGACTAACTTTCTACTTATTGTTAGAAATTCATGTTCAAAACAATAATTTATAAACAAATATTGCTTCCCATTTTGAATAATATTTATCAGTTCATGCTTGTTGCTTTTTATATTTTATACAAACAAGAACAATTTAACCATACATTGTGTGATAAGATGTAAATATTCAATAATATATTAAATTGTATAACAAATTTTAATTTAAGACAATATGCAAATAAATCATACATGAGATAAATAACATTATTCGACCAGAACTGGCAAAAATTTAATGAAAAAAATATTACCTCAATCAGGGTATTATTTAACAATAATAATACCAAGGTAATATTTAATAATAATATCTCAATCATATATGTTTGCTTTTACATTGTGACAAATTGTATATTACAAATAAATGAGTTCATACTCTTATGTAATTCTAATATCTCAAAGCATAATAGGTTTAATTTAAAAATAAGTTTAATTTAATTAAAGAAGAAATAGAAAGATAACACATCTCTTTTCAAAACAGAAAATTATTTACATTATGAAATATTGATAGTGTATTAAATTTTCATGGGCTGCTCTTTAATTTTTTCTTAAATAAACACTCACCTGTAACAATGCTGGGCCCATAACGGGAATTAGAAAACCCTGATATAAAAATTCAAGTAACTGTTTCTGTACCATCGGATGTGCCACTTGCGCAACTGCGTTGCAGAATTCTAGAGAATTCATAATTTGTGTAAGTGCAGGTAAATCATTCACATCATCCGGTGTAAGTTGATGCCAATCATCCGTTTCGATGTCGAGTTTTCTTGGAAGTAAAGAATAAAGGCCACTCAATCCTGTAGCTAGTACCTGAATAAATACAATATTGTTTATATTACTTTTGTATGTACATTTTTGCAACCATGTCTCATTTCAAAGCACAATAATTGTATTACAGGACATATGTTGGAATGGTCAGCGATGTATAATCCAACTTCGTCATTTTTTTTAGAAAGTGACATACATAATAACATAGCGTCACGTGCTTGCTGGCCGATATCACCTTCCCGATGAACGCGAGGTATTAATAGATTAAATATGATGAATCTAAAATCATTAATCATTTTTATAAGGATTATACTTTCATATAAAACATTGCTCATTACTGATCATAACAATAATAAATTATTACTTATTCTTCATAGTTGCAGTTGAATGAAAGAACAAATCAAGTAATGCCATATTTTGCATTAAGGCAACGCATAGCTGATTCAATAATACTACTAATTTTTTTTCTACTTCTAATAGCATAATATCGTTTGCACATTCTTCTAATAATCGCAGAAGCGGTCTTGTAACTGGTTCATGTGCAAGAAGAGCACCACTATGTGAAATTAATAACTCATAAAGCTTTATTTGTGCCAATCTCACTGCATTATTAAATCTATAAGAAAATTTATTATATACAATATATGTATAGTACAGTAATTTACACAGCCACAATTAAATAGTACAGTAATACAGCAATTTATAAATATACACTTAAATAGATATATGTATAGATATAAATGTATAGAATTAACTTACAAGTTCTTTCATGTTCAATAGGACAAATATGTCCAAGCAGATTTAAATTATGAAATCTTTGATAAATTAAGTAAGGTCACATAGGTTTTAGCTTTAAAACCATTACTTCAATTTTAGTAAAAACATAATAAATACTATCATAAAATACAAAAAGTTATTTTTATACTTCCTGATTTTAAAAACTTTGTAATGTGCACAATATTATTAAAATTGTAAAATATTTTATTTTTGCCTGTCAGAACTGTACGCTATTTTGAACTTATTTTAATTTTTCATATTTAGTATCCCAAAACTAAATATTTTTCTTTTCTAATGGAAGACGAAGGAGTTAAATATAAAATATAGATAAAAATTATATATATATTATAAGAATAAAGATATACCTTCCTGTATATATACTCCAATCGTACAATTTAACAAGTAAATTTTCACTTAATAAATATTCTAAACATGGAGAATGCGTTGCGGTGTTGTCCTGTTGATAATGATTATGCGAATTTGAATCCCGTAGCTCCAGCATTAGTAATGTCACCATCTGGTCAACATGGTTAACAACTCCAAGTACATCGTCATGACTAGGTATCCCTTTAGGAGGCTGAAACATGCATAAACTGTTAATCTACCAAAAATAGAATTAAGATTTAATCTACAAAGTATATAATTAAGATTGAATCTAGCAATAAATTAAAAAGGTAGATGCAATCCGAGCAAAATGTAGATAGCCCAATGGTTTAATTATATGAATTTTTATATACTGTTTCCATCACCTCCTGTACACTGAGTATTATCGGTTTAAAAACGCAGTTTCTTGGATTGAACAGTAGCACATATTTTCCACATACTTTTAAATCAACTAATTAAATACAACAGAACTGCCACAAGCCTACAAAATTTTCTTTACATCTTATAACTAAAAAATCAACACATTTAATTGTCTGTAACTCTTCTACTTGCAATCTCATATATTTTCTCATTAGGATTTTTGAAAGAATTCTACAGAAACTAATCAGAATTCTCAACAGAACTTCCAGAACTCTTCAAAAACTTTTTGTATTACAAAATCATTTTATGATACAATATGAAAAAAATTTTATATGTATATTTATTTTATTATATTATAACCAAGTTATAAATAGAATATAACATAAAATAAAATAAATCAATAATTTGCATAGCGCCAAGTCAATTGTTGGTAAAAGTAGCAATGTCACATGTAGAGTAGAGGTAGTAACAATGGTCAGTGGTAATATTAACATTTATTTGTCAAATGTTGTCTCTCATTTTTACATAACTGATTTCTGTAATATATTTGACTCTTAAGCTCTTTACTTTTGTTTTCTCGAAATGAAGGTAGAGCAATAAAATCGGTTATATGTATATACATATATATATTTTGCAAGCAACAAACTACTAAATATATTATGTTCAAGACATTTCAAAAATTGTTATTATTATTGATACTTCTCTCTTGTACAAAGTACACTTTGGGCTCGTTTTTCAGTGTAAGAGGTGGCACACCAAAATTGAAACTAGTACATACTAAAAGCACATAATTAACACTAAATTATAGTATAAGTGTTTTTGGTAATTATGTATAAAACCGACGTCCTCACCTATTTCAATGACTTTGATATATGTATACTGTCAAGGTCACCCTCCTGAGTGACCTTCAAGAGTTCTTCAACATACATGGTATTGTAAAATTATGTTCGTCTTTAAACTTTTTTGTTAATAATTTTTCAACAAACGAGCGGCAGCTAAAATCTCTTGAAGGTCACTCAATAGTGACCTTGACAACATAGGTCAAGGTCATTGAAATCCGTCTTAGCAGCGCTAAGAATTTAGAATAAAATATTTATTTGTATAAATATTTGTCTGTTTAATATTATCTTCTTTATTTCTTCCAATAAAATGTTTTATTTAATTAAAATTCTGATTGTAAACATCTTCAAGAATTTTAGAAAAATATTACAAAACACATTTATAATCACATTTAATTAAATGTAGAATGTTTAATTTTCTATAGATTTACACATTTTTTAGGTTTTTATTAATATACACCAAATATTGGAGTGTAAAACAATACGCTCAAAACTTTTACTATATAAAATCGTATTCTATAATCATTGGACATAACATTTTAATAGAATTTTTATAGTTGGTGCAATTTTCTGATATCATTCCTTTTGTAGAGAAGATATATTTTGTAGAGAAGATAGATTTGAGTACTTTTTTTAACTAATATTTTGCTCTTTATATATTTGTTCTTTCTACACGTATACTTGGCCTTATTGTACCTTTTTTAAAAAGGTAATTTTGTTAGATAAATTTTACTTTAAATAATTGACATCACACTATATTAAGTTTTTAACAAAAACAGTAAAATAATATTGCATATTTCTTACATTACTGTTTGCAATAATAGAGCTAAATCAGGACTAATTTTGATATAAATAAATAGAAAATAAGCTGATATAATCCGAGCAAGTTGTAGGTAGTTCAGTGGTTTTATATAATATGTGAATTCATATACCATTTCCAACGCATCCTGTACCTGTTAATATTTTTTGGTAAACAATTTTTTAAGCCATTTTATATGTATAATAAAATAATCCTACAACATTTCCAGTCTATTCTCAATTACAATATTTTTAAACATCCTGGTATATTAAAAAAAATATTTTTAATAATGGTTTGTTTATATTTAGTTAATGAATGCATTTTATGGGTATTGGCCAATTGCTTCACAATCCTCCTGTGTACAAACGTACCAAGTGTGTATAACAAATAATTCATAAAAATATCTTGACATTTTGAAAACACCTAAGAATTTTTTTATTTATAAAAAAAATAATTAAAATGCGTAGTGCAAAGGGGGCAATAAGAGTCAAACGCTGGATGTTGAGTGCGGATATAACAATATTATGTATGTTGTTTATTAGAAATAATCAAATTTGTTTATAGAGCTATATTTGGAGATGTCTGAAATGAGGTCTTAATAAAATTACCTAAGATTTCAATTTTAACTGAATTTTGAGTCTAAGCTGTGGAATGTAGACAAAATATATGTTCGTAAAATGTACAAAACATAAAATTACAAAATTGTTTAATGAAAGGTCGAGCTCATGATTTGTAATACAAAGTTAAAAGATTGGAAGGACCATAACAAACAGGTTTAAATTTATTATTGTAGTTTTATTTATTAATACAACTTATTTAATAGTTTGTGGAATGTTGTGAGCTTGACTGAGCCTTTATGAGTTACAAGTAATAACAAATATGCAAATATAAATATCATAAACGAAAATGTTAAGTAAACATAAGGTAAAGTAGAAAGTGATAAACATCAAAGTTGAAAGCAGGGAGAAGTGAATAACTACAAAAGTCGTGAATAAGAAATGTTATTACATCTCTACGAAGTTATAACATTTCCGTTTATAATATTCATATTTGCATATTTTTTATTACTTGTTGCAACTCATAAAGGCTTAGAGAAGCTTGATACGTTCTGCAACTATTAAATAAATTGTATTAATGAATGGAACTATAATCACATCTTTACACCTGTTCGTTATTGTTTAAAAATATATGTTAATAAAATTTATTTTCGACATTTTATAAAAGCTATATGTATAAGAAAATATACCTACATTTATTTTCCTCATACATGTACATGGATATTTAGTTTTTAGTTTAGTTTAAGTTGAGAAAGAGAGAGAATAATTATTTTACTTTGTTAAGTATAATTTCACATTGCATTCTATTCATTTTGTTCTGGAATTTCGACTAACATACATTAGTCCAGGCAATAGAGGCCTAAAAAGGGCTTTACCTTGCAAAAGGTCAAGGAAACTTTATACTTGGCATAGTTCTTAGGTTTAGCATACTAATTAATACTCTGAGTTTTTGACCTTGAAATGTTGCCGCTCGCGCCGCCATATTGGAAAAATGGAGCAAAAAATGACTTTTTCACGAATATCTCGTTTCCAGTGTCAGATACGTGAAAAATAGTTCTTATAAAAAATGTAGAGCATAAAATTCTCTACATTTTATGTTTTAACTTTTTTTTCTCAGATTAATAGTTTCTGAAATACAATGCGATAAAGTGGAATACTTTTTCCAATTTGTCAGAATATTTCACTTTTCTCTGAAAATTTAAGTTAGTTATTAAATCAGATCGGCTATTTCACTTATTTCGTTAAGAGATATCTCTCAAGACGGTCTCATAACTCGGTTTTTGAAAGGAGTTTTTAAGCAAAAACCGACTAAACCGAAATATTCTAGTACCTGGGACACAGCTCCAGTGTTAAGTTACATAGAAAAACTTCCTCCAATGGCTCAACTAAAAATGAAGGCTGCAGTTGAAAAACTAGCAACCTTATTAGCACTGTCAACAGCACACAGACTTCAGACTTTAGCTTTGATCAATATTGAAAATATTTCAAGATCCTCCTCAGGAATTACAATAAAAATACCGGATCTAATCAAGACATCCAAACCAGGGTCCTTTCAACCTGATTTATATCTACCTTTCTTTGCTACAAAGCCTAGTCTGTGTGTTGCATCCTGCGTTTTGGAATATTTAGAGATCACAAGGCATTTAAGAGATAAAAAGAACAAACGATTATTGATTTCGACAATTAAATCGTATGGCCCGGTTAGCTCTCAAACCACAGGACATTGGATAAAAGCTTTATTATTCAAAGCAGGTGTTGACACAGAACAATTCTCTGCGTATAGCACCAGACACGCAGCAGTCTCAGCGGCTTTTAAGAAAGGAGTAGATATCGCGACTATTAGGCGAACAGCGGGCTGGTCGGCACAGTCCCAGACATTTATGAAATTCTATAATAGGCCGATTCATTCATCTAATGATAAATTTGCGCGTTCGGTATTATTATCCTAAAAAGTAATAAAGATTTGAATTATATAATTTGCTAAATATCAACATTGTTCTTTCTATATCATCAAGAACGAGACGGTTAATATAATGGAATGATCGAACGAGCCCGCCGAAGGCGGGCGAAGTTCGATCGATATTATATTTACCGTCTCGTTCGAAGATGATCCAAGTCCCTCCCTCATGATCACCCAGAATTTTTTTCAATACCCAGGATCATCATTGAGATCATAACTCAAACCTTATTTATAAAAAAAAACAATATGAAGATATAGAGGGCGGGACGTTGCCTAGGGGACCCTAGACTAGGCAGGAGGGACGGCGCCAAAAAGGAAAAAATGAGTTACACGCTAAATATGTCGATGATATAGAAAGAACAATGTAGATATTTAGCAAATTATATAACTCAAATCTTTATTACTTTTTAGGATAATAATACCGAACGCGCAAATTTATCATTAGATGAATGAATCGGCCTATTATAGAATTTCATAAATGTCTGGGACTGTGCCGACCAGCCCGCTGTTCGCCTAATAGTCGCGATATCTACTCCTTTCTTAAAAGCCGCTGAGACTGCTGCGTGTCTGGTGCTATACGCAGAGAATTGTTCTGTGTCAACACCTGCTTTGAATAATAAAGCTTTTATCCAATGTCCTATGGTTTGAGAGCTAACCGGGCCATACGATTTAATTGTC